GTATCAGAGCCTAGGCTAGAATACCTTGGGCTCGTGGGAAGTGACGTGTCTCACAATAGGGTCCCTAGGCTAGGATGGAATGCTTAGAATACCTTGTGTGTTATGTGTTTCCACGTGACTATGTGGGTATGTAGTTAGAATCCTATGATATGGCTTTTGTTCGTTACATTCATCAAAATCCTTTTGGAAAGACACTTAATCACACTATTACAAAAAAAGGTTTTTATGGCGCGCGATGCACGCCATAAAAACCCTTCTATGACGTGTAGCGCGTCATATTATGACCAGTCATGGAAAGTCATTCACTTTCAACGACACGCTTCGTACGCCGTTAAAAATTATTTAACGGCAAATTTTGTGTCGTTACTTTTTCTACAACATGCTATAGTACGACATTAAAAGCTATTTAACGGCAGATAGTGTGCGTCGTCGTTATTTTTCTACGACTACTTTTACACGCCGTTACTGGGTGAGTCAAATAACGACGCTAATTGCGCGTCGTAAAATATGTAATACGACTTATTATGCCTACCGTAGAACATGCAATTTTTTTTATTTTTAAATTTAGCAGGCTTTATTTGACTAATTTTGTATAATCTAACAAATATTACAAACAAGCATCACAAAACATCAATCAAACACCAAAAAACTGTTTCAAACATAAAAAATAAACCATATCCATAAATTATCAATATATACATTCCAAACATCCAAAAACTAACCTTAGTTCAAAACCATCCAAAAAGAACTATCCTTAAATTCTAATTGTTCAAAAAATTCTACAGTGTCCAAAAACTATGTCATATATAAGTTTCTAAACAAAAGGCACATTTTGACATGGTTAACCTATACTTTCCAACACCCAAGGCCAAGAAGCTCCATTCTTTGGATTGTCTTGGCTTCACACGTGCTTGAAATGAGAAAGAGACTGCAGCTAATGAGAGAGGGCTGCATCTGATGCTGCAACTACTGTAGCATTAGTTGCTCTGTCTGTTCTGAGAAGCAGCCTTGGCTATGGCTGCTAGCTGTTGAGGTGTGGCCTTGGTTGCTGGACAGTGGCCTTGGTTGCAGCTGGCTGCTGTGGCTGCTCTGCCTTATCACTGGGGCCCGCTGTAGCCTTGGCTGCTGTGGCTGCTGTGGCTACTCTGCCTGTTTTCACCACCTTGACTGCCGTGGCCTTGGCTGCTGTGGCTGCTCTGCCTCCTCTGGCTTAAGTATCATCATCTCCACTGTTTCGTAGACCTACACATGAATTTTAAACTAATGAGTTCTGACAATTAATTGACTTCAAGTATTGATATTACAGCCATATTGCTTTTGTCATTAATTTAAATCCAAATCCGAACAGACACAGTATACAAAAATAGTCTTCCAGAAGTATTGGAGTGTTTATAGTCCAAACTGCGTAGTCATACATTTTTTTGCAAAAACTTGTATAAACTGAACTAAGCAAGTTCATAAATCTCTAGTTAGTTGTGCAAACCTACCTGGCATATGTCATCAATTTTCTCGGTCCAAACACTGCCTTGACAAGTGGTTATAATGTAGTCTTTGCACTCACAGAACAGCGTCGATAAATTACTGCTTGTGGAGAGTTTCTCCTCGGCAATTATGAATCCACAACCCAGTTGAAAATTTTAGAAAAATGATACATCATAAGGACGATACAAGAGCCATGCTTTAGTAATTTAGCATTCGCTACCTCTGCAATAATCATAATGGCGTACGATGCAAATTACTCACTAATGCCACAAACTTATGGTTAATGACAACTATCACTTCAGGAATAGAACATTCAATTTATATTTATATCTATATATAGAATGAAATTTATTAAAAATTAATGAAAAAAATGTAATAATGCATGATGAGTAGATGACTTGCTAGAGAAACAAACAATTGTTCAAAAAGCTCGAAAGGTGGAATATCCTCCAAGTCATTCAGAATCCCTTCCCTGCAGAGTAAAGCACCATGACAGCCTTTACAATTGAGATCCAAATTTTAAGGGTCCATTTGATTGTCACAAAAATATGAGTTGGCCAATTTTAGAAATAGCTCATTTATGAATTAAGATGTGTATGGTTGTGAAAAGAAACAGCTATAAAATCTTCTAAAACATGGGATTAGTAATCTAAAACGAAGATATTCAAAATATGTTATGTTCGGCACTCACACAAACTTGAATTTATTCATTTAGAAATTAAAATTTCAGAATTAGTTAATTCAAATGAAATAATTAAATTTTCTCGGCCAAAAGGGCCCTAACATGATGGCATTAACTAAAATCTAGCAACATACACAGCCAAGTCCTCATCAAAGAAGGGTGCTTGTTTAACAGCTGGTACTGTCTTTGCTGTCTCCCACAATTCACGGCACAAATTACCTAAACACCACAGAGCAACCATTTAGGAGAGCAAATCTATGATGCAATAGCATATAAATTTTAGGTTTGTGTAATTATGTAGTGCATGATGAAGCAAGAGGATTAACCTTCCTTCTGCATTCAACTACTTAGTTGACCTTTGGTAGACAATAAATCACCATCATTAGATGGATATTTAGAAAATGGGGCATGGCCATGAGCAAGTTCAAGTGTCGTTATTCCAAATGATCAGATGCCTGCTCTGTTAACACAAAACAAATCTTAAAGAACTTAAAAGTCAACAGAAAACAGCATCAGCATAATGTTCCAAAAAATAGTAGGGCAGGAAAGGGGGAGGAATAGATCAGATAAGTCACCCACTCACTTAAAGTCATATCCATGCAGCTGCTGCATAACCTCTGGAGCCATCCTTGAAAAAGCAAAAACAAAAAATAATTGCAAAAATTGACAAACAATATGCTCAAGCCAATAATGCAAATCTATTCACCATGAATACATTGATAACAGATGATAGGACCTCACTCAACAGAACAGTGAAGGCTTGAGGGAAAATTATACCAGCATGGTGTTCCAACAAAAGTGTTTCTCGAGCGTTGCCTATCCCCAGTATCAAACATGTATGCAGATACCCCGAAGTCTACTAACTTGACTGCACCATTAGAATCGATTAATATATTGCTTGCCTGCAAAGAATAGATCAGCAGAGTGACTAAGCATAATAGCAAGCAACATTGCCAAATGAAACATGAAGGACAAGATAATTGTCTTGAGAATAAAGGAAGGGAAGGGACATTTTCCTAACCAAAATAATACATTCAAATTATATAAAAGAGGCAAATGATTAATTTCTTCAAGAAAGACGAATGATTAGACTCCATCACTTCAAAAGTTACAAGCACTCAAAATACTTGCCATAAGACATTCTATTTTCAATATACTTCATTTACTTGTGCATATTCTAGCACTAGTGGCCATATTTTCAGTTAAACCTAATTCATTTACTTGTGAGAGCAAAATCAACAAACTAGAGAACCAAGAGGGGCACTATTACCTTCACATCTCTATGGATATGCCCATGGGCATGAAGATAGACAAGAGCTTTGAGAACCTCACATAACAATGTGGAAATAACAGGCTCTTCAAAACCGTCTGGATAAGCAGATTTCATTATATGAAGGCATGACCCACCAGCCATATAGGGCATCACAACCAGAGGTTCTGGCCTGCAGTGAACAAGCAATGAGCCCGTAATAAATTTGGATGATCGATCAAGCTCATCATTTGTACCTCTCGACGGATATCATCCTGAGCAGTTAACAAATAAAAACCATCTGATGACAATTGTAGTACCGTGTTTTAAACTGAACCCAAATATGTTCAACAGTTCAGACAAAAATCAGTGGAAGAGAAATATACTTGTGCCCAAGGCATAATATAGAGATATATGGTGAATTGTCCAAGCCACATCCGCATAAGCAAGCAATGGAGCAAGAGAAGCATTATCTAGTGATAATATTCTAAATGATGGAGAAACCTCCCTTCAGCTAGAAACACTCATGCAAAATACAATCACATGAAATGACCAACCAACAGTGCTTGGGATATAACCATAGACATAAACAAAGGTACACAACAATAATGTGATCAATTATTTATTAGAAATAGAATAATATAGCATACTTAGTGAAAATAGCCAAAAGAAATTATTATTTAGAAGGAACCAACTTGTCTACATTAATTTATATAGTGGTGTGAAGAAAATCTACCAATGTACTTGACTTAGAGGTTCATTGTTATTCCAATCGATTAAATTACTTAGATTGAAAGAGCTAGAAAAATTACTATATTAGAGTCGTAGGATTGATGTATATTGATGGTAATTAATCATACCTCTGATTTCAATTTTATATTTACAGTCAAGTAATGAAGGTTGGTCCTATCCCAGGATTAATGGTTCAGGGAAAATGTGCATTTCATCAGGGAGATGAAAGAGCCATATGATACGAGAAGAACTGGACTTATCAGAACGTTATCCAAAGTCACAGTAATCTTAGGTTTTTATACAACTTCGAAAATAGTTTTTTTCTGAATAAGTAATGTGAATATAAGTACTCAAGAGAATATATAAATGCAATTGTATTCAAGAAAGAAAGCAATCTAACCTTCTCTGTTGCAGCTTGTTCTATCAGTGCATAGCCCAAATCAAGGTTATCATTGTTAACAAGTTGCACAGCTTGTTCAAGAACTTCACTCGAGATATTTAAACACAGAAGTGAATTCCTGAGCTGACTTGATATTGAGCCACGTAGGGGCTCCTAACAGTAATCACAAAATCATTATCAAATCCCAGGTAACAAAGGTAGACAAATACAAGATGTCAATCAAGTTGTGTTGTGTGTCTTCATATAACTAAATAGGAAATTTCAGCATTAGATATGACTAGAAAACATTTATGCTGTGTTTGGTTGGGGGATTTGGGGAGGAATTTGGAAAGGGAAAGGGAAAAGGTGTGTGAAACTAGGTGAAATGTAAGTATATTTTATTCACATTTCACCTAACTTTTCCCTTTCCCTTTCCAAATCTCTCCTCAAATCTTCCAACCAAACACAGCTTTAATATTTCAATTTCTTCACCAAAAAAAAAAAAAAAGAATTGGTTTCTCACCGGCAAGAACCAGCCATAACATTAGAGGACCCTCTTTTGTTGTCTAAAATATGCTGTAGCAACATAAAAAAAATAAAAAATATAAAAAGGAAAAAAAGAAATCAATAACTAAGAAATCAAATAAACATATTCAAAACCATTGGCTTAGGCTCAATCAATGAATGGCAAGCAACATACATAATCTTTTCAATCACACAAAATACCAAACACATAATGGGCACCATACCTCAATCCCAGGAATGGCAACTATACTCTTTTCATAGAAATGTCATGCTAATCAAGGGTAGGAAAACAAGATGAAATAAATAAATAAATAAAAAATAAAAAAGCAAAATAGAAAAAAAATAGGATATTTCTTACCTAAATGCAAATATAGTCCGTCCAACACCAAAAGCATCACCTATTCACACCAACACAAGAGAAAATATAGAACAGTTTAGAAGAGATTAAAAAAAATAAATCTTACTGAAAACCCTCAAGCCATGAATTCTAGTACCCTGAATTGGTGTGAATTTGAAACTAAGATTTCATTAGATAAAAAGAAAAATTAACTTAAAAATCAACTGAATAATAATCAAATGCATATATATATATATACACATACAAAAAAAAAAACCTGTCAAAAAACTTTATCCCATAGCATAACTTCAATCCAAATCTAAGACATTGCAATAACAATATATGAAAAAAATTCCAAAATTAGTTTTAAAAAAAAAAAAAAAATGGTGAAATTTATCAGAGCCATTTTCATTTTCTTGCTCTTGTTGTACAACTAACTCACTAAAAAAATAACTACTGATCTCCATAAAATGAAAACAATCTGAACTAACTCAAACTTTATTTGCTTCCTTGGAATAATTATCTACCTCCCATGGGGGGAAAAAAATCAAAGAAAGCAAGAAATAGGCTTCTAGAATTAAAGTCTCCTCTTAGCTTTCATGCTCAGCCTGTAAAACAAAATAAAAAGGATCAGAATATTTACATACTTTATAGTAAATTAAAAAGAATAAAGTCATACTTACAGTAGCATCAGAACTACTAAGCATACTTCTTGCATGCACTCTCTGTCACTCTAAAAGAGAAAAATAACAATCAAAGGTTGAAAAATTGATATAACTACATCAAATTGAAAAGCATATGTAGATATAGACTAGTAAATTGCACATACCTCCAATGGTTTATTCACTCCAAAATTAGAACGTAGCCAATCCCCTGCACAAATTAGAGCTTGCACTGTTTCCGATTTCAAAGAGCATCGATATTGATCTAGAACTCGTCCCCCAGTATAAAAGCAGATTCAGAAGCTACAGTGCTGATAGGAATTGATATATTGGTCACGTACCATGTTTGATAGAATGCGAAACTTGAGAGTGTTTGCCTTCCACCAATCTAAAGCATCAAAATCAACATCTAAATTCCCTTTAAAAATGTAAAAGCCTTCTTCCAAATATATGTCCAAATCAGATTTGCTTGGTTCAATAGTTTCCAACTCGTGTGCTCATATATCAAACTCTAACCTGCTCTTAGTTTTTCCTTTTGTATTGCAACTAGTTATAGGACTATTAGAAGATCTCCTCCCCACTTGAGAATCACTAGTTCCAATATTACTTGAAGCATGAGCAACGACATAATCATCATACAGTTCATACAATGAATAACAAATTTGATTGATATGCTTTTCAGATTCTGCAATTCTACAGAGCTAGGGCATGAACCCTTCAAATTCAAACTTTACCAAAAATTAAAATCAAATACAATTAGACCAAGAACAAAAATCAAATGCAAAAGCAAATCAGATCTAAACTGAAAATCAAATTGAAAGAAAGTGTACAGAACATGAATAAACTACTCTCATTCACCACATTGGCCCTGTTTGGTAGAGCTGTGGGAAAGTGCTTATAGCTTATGCCTAAACAGCTTATAACTTATAACTTTCAGCTTAAGCTGATTTCCAGCTTATTCTTAAAGCATCTCTTGCCTCAGTCAAAGAATAAGCTGTTTTCTGACTTCCACAAAGCTATAAGTTATAAGCTATAAGTTAAACCAAACACATTAAAATAGCTTAAATTAAGCTGAAAGCTGAAATAAGTTGAAATTAAGCTGTACCAAACAGGGCCATTCATATACTAATAGGAAGTTTTGACCTTTTAAGTTCCTAAAATTGAAAAGCCTAAAGGAGGCTTTAATAGGTACAAACCCATTGTATTTTGATTTTAATCATTCCCTCCTTAGTTATTTCTGTCAAACTTTTAATGTATTTTATATGTCTTGTTTATTTGGGCAGATTAGATTAGCATTCCCATGACTACTAGTCTTAGGACTACGAATCCGTTGGATTATATATCCTATCTTAACTAATAGTCAAGTTTAAAATAATTAATATGTACTTCAATTGTTTAACCAAACATCGGATTAATAATTTTATTGGACTATTAGTCCAATCTCAAGCTCATGTCCACCCAAACAAACATGACCTAAGTGTAAGAAGTGTGCTCGCCAAGTGTTCTGAGATGAGTGGCTGCATTTTACATTTTTTCTCTGTTTTCCATTGTGGACACTAGCAATGCGAACAAAAAATTTTAAACATTGCAAATTTGTCACTAACTTAAGTAGTTATTTCATAGTTTTTTTTTCTTTTTAATGTTTTTATTTCCAGTTATTTTGAAGCTGTACTTGAATTTTTTAAGGCATTGATTTACAGATTTATTTTTCTGTTTGTCATCTCTATCTCTATCTATCCAAATACAGCCTTATTATTAGACTTGATAACAAAAGGGACTCATCAATTTTCATGCCACCAACTAATAAAAAATTGTAAATTAAATTTGATGGAAATCATACAATACTTCAATAATTTACTCCATAAATAAACTACTGTCATTCACATGGGAATAGAAGTCACAATATCACAGTATTTATGGAGTAAACTATTATATGTCAATATCATTTTTATTATGAATATATATATATATATATATGTGTGTGCGCGCGCGCGCATCTACACTGGGGTTGGGCTTTGATATTTACAATAAAAATTTATTTTCTATTTTTTCTGTTATAAATATATATATATATTTTTGATTAGTTTAAAAGTTGTATAAAGTTATCCAAAAAATATGACTCTAATGTCACATTATTTTTGATTTTATAAAAATCATAAAATAAGTTGATTTTGTCCATTCAGAACAAATTTAGTTATTAGATGTTAAAAAAGATGATTTTTTTTTCTCCCACAAGAAACTTCTAAAAAATATATTAAAAAAATTATGATCACTTTGGATCACTAAATTCTGCATTTTGATATAAGTGTATCATTTTTCTACTTATCAATCACAGTAACAAGTAGTTATTACTAAGATGCTACAAAGTGGAAGTCAACAATTAGGAAAATATGCAATTGCTTACACATGTGACAGCAATGCGAATGAAGAATGTGGAAGTAGTTAATGAAATCATGATTTTTTAACAAAACAAACAGATTTTTTGGGGTTTCATTGTATCTAATCAAAAAGCACATGAATTTTTACAAACAATACCCAACAGATTTTTTCATCATAAATTCCAAATCAGTTTTTATATGAAGAAAAAAATTTAATGACAAATAAAAAATCCTCTAAAACAATGTAGAAAAATCATACCTTTGAGAAGAAGAGAAGAAAAGAAGAGAACGAGAGAGGAAGAGAGGAAGAGAACCAATTTATTGACGCCACATGACCAGAACATAGAAATTGTTAGTATATTATTATGTTTAGCTTTAGCTTTAATAATTAGTGTAGCTTTAGCTTGCTTTAGCTTTCGTAATTAGCTTGCTTTAACTTTATGCTTTCGGTGCCTCTCTCTCCAATGTATCACAGGCTATAAGAAGAGAGCTAGGCTCCCTTTGTAAATCAACAAATGATATACACATCTCATTTATTCACTTGTTCTCTCTCTCTATCAATTTTATCTTTCATGGTATCAGAGCCCAATGTTACATTTCTGGCAATTTTCGATTTTGGTGTTTAGTCCCGTACACAGTGGCACTACATCAAACTGCTCGGAATTTCCTCACGATTCCAACGGCACCAAGCCCATTCTCAGAAAACCTTCCACGCGCCCACACGCGCCGCTTTTGTCCTCTGCGCGTCATCACTTCCGCCACCACTCTCACACGCACCCGCACACGCCATCTGCTGTTGCTCACTTCCGCCACGCGTCCACACACGCCCACACATCCGCGGCTGACGTCAGCCCTGCCTCGCCCGTACGCCGCGCCTGCTACTGTACGCCTATCGTGCGCCGCTTCACTAGTGTGCACCAGCGTGCGCCAAAACAGCTACCGTGCGCCGCGCCTGCGCCTGTCCGCTACCGTGCGCCGCCGCCTTCCCGCTAACGTGCACCTCCCCGCACTCTGTTAACGTGCGCCGCTGACATCATTGCTGACATCATCTCTGTCCAGCATACCTTTCCTTGCCATTTTCGACCTTCCGGACTCACTGGTGCACTCTATTTTACCTAATTTTGCTCCTACAGGTCTATTCCTCTTACTTTAACCCTACTCAATTAGTTTTATGGATCGTCATGATGCCTCCCATCCCATTTCCGTTATTTTGAATGGTTCAAACTATGTTTTGTGGGCCCAAGCCATGTCCTCCTTCCTCAAAGGCAAGAAGCTCTGGCGAATTGTCACCGGGGATGTGACTAAACCGGTGAAAGACAGTGCCACTAATGAAACTCATGCTCATACTACTACATATGAAGACCGACTTGAGGAATGGGACAGTAAGAATTACCAAATCATTACCTGGTTTCGTAATACCTCTATTACCTCTATCAGTCTTCAGTTTGGTCGCTTTCAGCTTGACTCTGTAACTACTCCTGCAAAAGACATCTGGGATTTTTTGAAAGAACGATACCAGACTACTGGTCTTGCCCATCAATATCAACTTCAGAACCAACTTCACCGCATGCGCCAAGAATCCACTCAGTCCATTAATACTTCCTTTCTCAAATGTACTCTATTTGGGATTAGCTTGCTCTTTCAGAACCAACTTGGCATAACCCCGAAGATGCTATTTTATTTACTATCTATCGCAACCAGCAAAGGTTGGTGCACTTTCTCATGGCTCTTACTTCCTCTTTTGAGCCGTACGTGCCTCTCTGCTTCATCGCCATCCATTGCCCACTCTTGAATAAGCAATTTCTGAGTTGCTATCAGAGGAGACTCGTCTTGGTACACTTCAAACTCATCATGTGGACTATGTTCTTGCCACTCCTTCGTACCGGCCATCATTTACCCAGCGGACCACTGCGTGCCTCTATTGCCAGAATCGGGGCCTTCCTTCCACCCATCTCCTGGTCAATTGCCCCGTCAGATCCTGTCGCTACTGCAACAAACTTGGTCCTGGTCATCTGCAACAGGATTGTTTTCGCAATCCATCCCGATCATCCTCCAATAGCCACTCCTCTCGCGGTGGCCCTTCTCGGGGAAGCTTTCATCGTTCCGGGAATCAGTCTCATCACACTGCTCCTGTTACTTCCGGGAATCAGTCTCATCACACTGCTGCTGCTGCTTCCGGGCATCAGTCTCATCACACTGATGCTTCTGCCTCTGCGGGGTTCTCTGAGTCACCTGCTCCGTCTACCCCTCGCTTTTCTCCAACAAATGTAGAGGCCATGCTCAAACAACTTCTCTCCCCTTCTGGTACACCTCATCCTACTGCTTTGTCTGTAACCCTAGGTAACTCTTCTTGGTATTTTGACTCTGCCTGTTGTAATCATATGACCTCCAGTTCTACTATCTTTTCTTCCTTCTCCTCCTCTCCTCATCTTCCCTCAATTCATACTGCTGATGGTTCCCTCATGTCTGTCCGTCATGTTGGTACTGTTTCCACCTCTTCTTTATCCATACCTCAAGTTTATCATATCCCTGCTCTCACCTTAAACCTTATTTCCATTGGTCAATTATGTGAACTTGGTCTAACTGTCACATTTTCTGCTACTGATTGTTTGGTACAAGACCCTCAGACGGGGCAGACTATTGGGATCGGCCGTAAGCGTGGACGTCTCTATGAACTCATTCACCTTCATGTTCCTGCCTCTCCTCAGATCGCTGCTCCTACATCTACTTCCTCATTATCTCCCTTTCATCTTTGGCATTGTTGCTTAGGGCATATTTCTGTTAATCGCTTAAAGTCTTTGGTTTTTAGTGGATAGTTGGGTCATGTAATTCACGATCATTTCGATTGTATACCCTGTCAACTTGCCAAACAACCTACTTTATCATTTAATAAAAGTACTTCTGTTTCCCTTGCACCTTTTGATCTTATACATTCGGATATTTGGGGACCCTCCCCTACTACTACTATGGGGGGATCCCGCTATTTTGTTGTTTTTATTGATGATTGTTCCCGGTTTACTTGGCTTTTTCTCATGAAAAATAGGTCTGAACTTAAACACATTTATTATAGATTTGCCCAAATGGTCCATACCCAAATCTCCAAAGCCATCAAAAATTTTCGCTCTGATAATGCTATGGAATATCGGGATTCAGATTTCCTTTCCTTTCTTCAGCATCATGGTACACTGCCTCATCGTTCTTGTGCTGGCACGTCCCAGCAAAATGGCCGCGCTGAATGGAAACATAGGCATATTCTTGACACTACTTGCGCTCTCCTTCTCTCTTCTTCCTGCCCTGAAAACTTTTGGGGGGAAGCTAACCTCACTGCTGTTTACACTATCAACTGTGCTCCTACCCCTGTCATTCATAATCAAACTCCCTTTGAACGTCTGCATGGCACTCCCCCTCCTTACGCCAATCTCCGGGTTTTTGGCTCTGCCTGCTTTGTTCTACTTCAATCCCATGAACACACCAAGCTT